TGTGTGTGTGTGTGTGTGTGTGTGTGTGTGTGTGTGTGTGTGTGTGTGTTGCTCCACACTGATAGATCCTTCATATTTTATGAGACTGGAAGTGGGTCAGTGGGGCTGGGGCTTCTGGTTGGCAGTCTTGTGTTTTTTAAACCAGAATACTGGTAAATATATACAATTCAATTACTAGTAAGTATTAATCAAGTTATAATGTGATATCAATTGGACTGTTACATATAAACCAGCTTATTATTACTTAAAATTCTTTCCCTGAACCTAATACTAAATCTGGGGTTTGAAAAAAGTGTAGTTTGGCAAAACTATACTGTATAAAATACAATTTAAAATGAGTTACAGTTGAGTCTGTTGTGTCTCGGACAGCTGCTGCACACCCTGCCCTCACAGTTGTTTTTACACGTGCTGCAAGCATGCTTCAGTGCATGCACCGCTGGCCAAGTGGCAGCCAAATGACAGCAGCTGGATCTGGGAGAAATGGCACACTTTGCTTGATAGAKGACAGCAGAAAGGAAGCGCTGCTAGTGGGAGGGAAAAACAAGGCTAGGCTGGAATGATCCTAATCTTTCCCACCCAGATGTGGCTGGAATTAAAATTTTAACACACTCTGCTGGATCCAAAAGTCACTATTCATGGCTACTTGTAAARATAGGCCTTGGCATTTTAAAGAATAACTTTCTGCACTCTGGAACTCTTTGGGGAAACAGGAGGGAAGTGGGTGTTTGTGTTCTGTCGTGTTTTTCACATAGATTTTTCASTGGCTGAATGTCAAAAAAGCAAACTAATATTTTCAGATCCTTCATTAAACTGTCTTAGCTAAATTACAACATCTTTACCCCACTGACATGCTTTGCTGTTGGAACAGATCGAACCACGTGTGAGCTTGCGAAATTCCCAAGATGAGAGATGTTACATTTGGGAAAAGAAAAATCCAAGTGCTGACTCAAAGCTGTGCACGTTTGTGAACTTTGTGTACTTTTAAAATGCTGTAACCTAATCTCTACATGGTGGGTGCTATGTGCAGAAGCTTTGAAGTGTTATTTTGTGGAGTAACTGACAGTTTTTATTCTGTCTAAAAATCTAATCTGGAAGCCAAACTTAGCCTGTTATGTTTACGTTTGCGTGTGACGTTAAAGACGTTTGGCAAGCTTTTGTTGCCACATTTTTGGTTTTCACGCTAAAATTTACAACACATTTTTGGTTATTATAATCTCGGTGTAAAGAGTGTGTGTGTCTCAAAGTTTATAGTGTGTGTTATAAAACTGAGCTGACTGCTTTAAACTAACAAAAAGCCAGAGCCAGAGGATTTAGCAGCCAATTTCATTGCTGCATAATACTGTCAATCTGTAGATGTTTTAATTAAAACATACCATGTTTACGGTTGTTGGGTTGATCACTTTAGGGACAGAAGACCTAACATGATTTGTACCGGAAGTTATTTCACTAGAGGTCATTTTTTCTTGGAAGAAATGGATTTGCTTTTCATCTTTGGATAAATCTATTGCAAGTACAATTGCAGTTGTACATTGCACAAGTTTCAATATTTTCAGAAATTATTCCAAAGGGAAAAAAATGTTTTGTTTTGCATTTATAGAAGCAACATAAAGTGCATCCATAGTGACACAAGAATTGGATGTTTTAGATGGAGAATTAAGAAAATCAATGTTACTAAAACATAGATAAATGTTACATAAAAATGACCTGTGTGACCGTAATCAGCATTTTGTATATTGAAATTACTTGAAGTTTTATTATTAAAAATAATGCTTAGTTTCAGTTTTTATGGCCACTGTTGTGCAAAATGGAGCTTCATCTTACTCAGTGATTGTGTTGATCAGCTGGTGAACAGATGTTCATCAGCAGCAGCTGCTTTCGCTTCACTGAGAGATCATTTCTCAAAGATGTGAACACACTGATCACATTAGATCAGTGGCTGAGATTCAATCAGAAAAACTGAGTGGATGATTTTTGATGCTGTTGAAGTATTAGTATGAATTTGATTAGTCTGCTTTTTTCTCTCTCTCTCTAATACTTAAACAAAAGTTACTTAAAGATGCTGAAAGTATTTCTATCATTAAAGTTAAGATAATAAATATAATGAATTGATCATCTAGATGGTTTATAGCTTTTATTGAAAAAAAAAACTTATAAAAAAGTTTGGTGTTGTGAGAAAAGCATGACAAGCAACCAAAATAATTGAGACATCTTCTTACTTTCCACTGTATTTGTCCAGCTCTTTGTGTCTTATTTACTTGCCTGTGAAAGAACCGTGTCCGTTTCTATTTTTATCATTTAATGTGGGCTGTGCGTGCCGCCAAGAGGAAGTGACACATAGGATACCCTGATCAAATGAACAGTTTGTGAATCAAACATAGATGGTTGCAACTTTAAAAAAGGGAGATAAACAGTAGATTTCTCACATAGTTTTAATCTATAAAGAAGTTGGTGATTGTCATCAATGTAGAGAATACAGGTTTTGTTCAGAGAATCTTAAATGTAAAGGTGTTGATCAGTAAAAGTTTTGTGTTTCCATGTAGAGCAGAGGTTATAGTGTTTGCATTATGGCCTCAGGCGACACAAGCTGCGTTTCTATTGATCATGAAAATGCGCAAATTAGAATTTCGAAAATAAATTTGCTCAATGGAAAAATGTCAATTTCTAAAAAAATTACGTTTTTCGACAAAATGTTTTTGCTCAAGGATGAGGTGGTATTTCGGCCATATCGAAATTGGTGTTTTTCGCAAAACTGCAATGGAAACACTTTTTTCGCATCACGGGAGTCACGTGATCAACAACCGGCTGTTTCTACTGGCGAAAAAGATGACGACGAAGAAGATAACGGGAAGTAGAAGTAGTAGTAATATCACAAAAGTAGTAAAAGAAAGTAGTAAACTCACCGACTACAATTTCTCAAAAACACAGAATATGTAGCCGCTCCCAAGTAGGGCTTGTCGCTGGAAAGCCTCGATAAAAGACGCTGACGTCTCCTCTGATGATGAGCACTAGTGTCGTGGTAGCAACATGCTATGTGTTTACATCCATCGCTGCCATGTTTGTAATGACTTATCGCGAGAACAAACGTATTCACGCGTGACTTTAATAGCATCTCATACTTAATGGAAACACCCCAGTTGTGAAACTGTGTTTTTCCAACATTAAAAAAATATCGACAAAGTTTTGCACACATTTGCAATGGAAACGCAGCTACAGACGTACATTTGTTTAGGCTGCTACCCTCCAGTGTTACCGCCACACCTCAGAGACACAACTCATTAATTATCACTGAAATGTGAGATTTTACTGACTCAGACGAACATGGTTCCTTTCGCTCGGGATGTAACTCAGAAACATACGTCGTGCTCTGCAGTCCTCGCTGTAGACCGGACAGGCTGGATTAACTTCTTTTAGGCTCGTTCAGCCCTGTGGGATTAGGAGGCGTGACTGTTCGAAAACTAATTCTGTTTTGGCTCYAAAACTCTCTTGTAATAATATTTGAATTTCAAATGTATGCAAAATAAACGGCAACAGGATGTCAAAAACTTGATTCTGTTGACACTAGCTGTACTGTTGTTTTCACCTGCACAATTCAAAGAGGTAAACAGTTTGCACAMCTTTTATGGTTTGATTTAGTTTGTATCAGTATTTCTTAATAATAGCTTGGCTGATCAGTCGGAGAGGAAAAGAAACTTCAGGTTCTGTTTTCAGAAGAGGTGTTTGGTTCAGCAGGCAGGAGGTAGAGTCAGGACCAAACCACACAGGGAGTGTGTAATCCTCTGCTTTTAGAGACAGAGAGCAAACCATGTGGCATACATATTTTCACTGTACAGCTCAGATAGATTCACTACTATCACCATGGAAAACCATGTTCTCTTACTATAAAACTGATATGTGTGTACAAAACAACGGTCCCTTGTTTTCAGGTGTGTAAAGAGAGTATTTTCTTTATATTTAATAAATGTCTCCACTCTCAGTCTGAATGCAAATGTTATGAAATTAATTGTTGTTACAAAAGTTGTAATGTACGCTTGTTGGAATTCAAATCTGTTGTTACCGTTAGAATAAAAGAAATGGTGATTTTTATTTATAGTTTGTTTAGACCAGCTAAGAGACGCTAATAACTCGCAGAGAAATGCTCCAGATGCTTCTGTGTTGCCTGTTAGTCGAGTGTGTGCGCAGCTCTGCCAGGTGGGTGTGGTTCTGTGAGTCACAGGAAAGCATGGCAAAAGATTTGTATGGTGTGTTTTCACTTAACTTTGGTTTGGAATTTCAGTATGTGTTTCTTTTTATTATTTATTTTACTTGATACTTACTGTTGTAAAATTTATTCTGTTTTACTCTCAGAAACAAACTGTGCCCATTTTCTTGTCTTTCCTCTCTCTCTCTCTCTCTGAGTGAGTCATTTCCTGTGAGGAACCATGCCCAGTGCAGGGAACAGCAGTATAACAGCCATAAAAAACTGTTTGTTTTCTTTTAAAGAAAAAAAAATGCTTCACTAAGCGTGACATGTTAACGACGGGGAACCGTGAATAAGGAAATGCCTCTCAGTAATGATTTCTATTTCAGCCTAAAGCATGTAATGTTTGTCTTTAAATGTATTTCCTTTTAATGTTCATGCTGTCCCTCATGTCACACTACTTTGCTCCTAACGTTTTTTGCTATTTCTGTTCTTTTGTTTCTTCCCCCTCTCCTAGTTCCAGTTACTCCACTAAAGCACTAGAGTTTGAGAAGGAGCACCAGATCGCTCCTGTGTACGAGTCGCCCAGGATGTCGCGACGAAGCCTGCGTCTGCAGAACTGTGCCAGTCATTATGGCAGCGAGAGCTCGGCGGATCACTCCCAGAACCACAGCAGCAGCTACACCAGCACCAGGAGAGAGACACGGTGAGTTATAAACACTTCTTTGATTCAAACATTTTTATTATCAGTGGCTGCTAACTAGGTCAAACAGATTGATCAGCTCTCCCACGACATCTGTACTTAGAAAGTGCAGAAACTAATCAAGCTATTAGTTTTTTTCTTCATTTTTGCATTGAATTCTCACATAATCAGTTCTTAAAGGGAAGCTATTATGTGAGAATTCAATGCAAAAATGAATTGAATTCTCACATAATCAGTCCTTAAAGGGAAGCTATTATGCAAAATTCACTATTAAAAGTTTTTTTTTACTCAACTTTGAGTATGTACTTCTTAAAAAAACAGTCCTAGGACCAAAAAAATGTACTCAGGGGCATATGTAAGTAAATGTATTTTTAATGTGTATTAATGACAAGTTTAAACTTCCGTCATTTTGTGACGTCACAAGCCGTACGACAACCCACCGGAACCTGCGTTCAGTCCCCTTACCTAGTAACCCCCYGGTGAAACTCCACCTCCTCAGTATAAAAAGCCGCCACGGTTGTTTTGCAATGCGCAGCTCATTTTACAACAGGCCTCCAATAGGGAAATGGGTAGAATGTTGGACCAGAGCGGGAGACCAGGGTTCGAGACTAGCATGGACACATACAATTTAATTATTTATTTTTGTTCGTTATGAACACGTTTTCTCATGTTCCTCTATTGTTTAGCTTATTAAAGCCTTGTTAAAGCCTATTT